TTTTTAAGAAGTTTTTAAGTCTGTAAAAAAGACGTTTTGGAGGAAGAAGAAGTAAAAGCTGATCAAATATCGGGTTAAATATCGGTGGGGTGGCCGATGTCCGATATTCAGTTTTAAGGCCGATACAGGCCGATACCGATAGGGGGCCGATTATATCGTGCATCCCTAATATATATATATATATATATATATATATATATACACATGTATGTAGCCCAGTTGATAGTAAATGAAATGAAGTAAATGTATTACTATGACCAGATCTTAAAGCAAATCTAGTTGTCTTTGATCACTTGCTTTGAAAATTTGTAAATATTTTGCAGACTCTCAAGGATACAACAAGAATAGAATTGAGTAGAATTTTGCCACTGTGTAGCGCGGATGCTGTGTAGGTACCCATGTTAATTGTAATGCCTGCGTATTACAATTGTGATGTTCACAGCCGAGTACAACGCAATGCAGTGTAAATTGCGTGTTAGCTGTAACTTTGGCCGGTTGTGTATGGCAATAGTCTTTCCATCAATGGGAAAGAAGGGGACTTAAAGAGGAACGTATGCCACCAGTTAGCTAACCTGCCAGATTGTCGGCAAAGAAGGGTTGCTCTCTACTAAATAGGTACAGCCTCGTTCATTTGTTGTTAACTTTGTGGTACACAACAATTTGATTCAGATTTTACTGGAAAGAACGTAGACGTTTGGAATGGTTGCACACTGAAAATTTTTGTGGTTCCTTTGGTTCCCTGAAAAGGCAATTGTGTGCATTGAAAATTTGAGCTTGGGAAACTTTGTCTGGGGAACACCTTTTGGGACTGGGCCAACAAATCCCCAGATTTGAATAAGGGGCAGACAGTCCTTTTTTCTTCTAAAGCTCCTCTTTTGACAGCACTGGTACTACGAGGACTAACTCCTCTTTACATGAGATGCCAAATCCCTTTTGACCATTAGAAAGGGGAAGAGTTGGAGCAGAAATCCATAAATTGACATCTAAGCTCTGAGGCACAAGAACTGCAGAGAACACCAACAGAGCAAAGGTGGCGAATGTCCGGCAAACTATTATCACTGGTCCGGCAAACTTTTATCACTGGTCCTGCAAAGTATTATCACTGGTTCTAGTTGATACTGAAAAGGCGCCGCAACCCGCTGCATCTCTGCTGGGCAGTCCACGTAGCCAGTATAAGCTGCCAAGCTGGAAGCAAGGACTTACAGCACATTTTATACAAATTCAAACTGCTGTTTATAGCAAAAGACACATGAGACACATGCCTCTTGTCAAGTTTGTTTTTCTTGGGCATGAGAGAGTAGGCTTCAGTCTTATCACTGTAGGGTAGAGTCCTGCAACGGGTCGGGTACCCGCGGGTCCCCGACGGGGCACCCGCTAAAATGCTCTTTTGCGGGCTAAAAATACATAAATAAAAATAAACGGGTCGGGGGTCGGGCGGATATTTTTTTAGTGCGGGCGGGTAGTTGGTGATTTTTTTTTTATGCGTGTGTGTTGTTATGGACATCAGAAATGTTATATTAATCAGGCACTGGGGTCACCCTTGTTGTAGCTTAAAGCCCTGCCGGCAGTGTGGGCTTCCCTCCAAAAAGGCTACAGTCAGTGCATACACGTCTGCTGCAGTGTTAATGGCGCTGTTCTGCAGCGCAGCGTACTATAGCCTATTACTTGATGTGTTAACGGGTCGGGTTGCGGGTTAAATATCAACGGGTCGGGTCGGGTTCAGATTTGAATTGAAGATATCCGCGGGTGACGGGTCGGGTTCGGTAGTCATCCTAATGTGTTCGGGCGGGTGCCGGTTGGTAAAACTCGACCCGTGCAGGACTCTACTGTAGGGCTCTTTTCCTTAGAACTTAAAAAATTTAGCCACTCCTTGCTCAGTTGGGTTGGCGTCCATCTCTTTGCTCACCTCCTATGTCAGTGGCCATGGCTCTTGCTTGCTACGGTGGTTCAATATTGGGCCCACTGATCAACATTATTCATCCTGGTGTATTATTTCATCTCACTAACTCTGCTCTCCAAGCCATCCTCTTGTGGTTTTCAGTGGTTTCGAGGCAGGAAACTTTCCCCTGTCCTACAAGCTCAGGATGTCTTGCTGCTGTAGCCTCACAGCAGAAATGTCCTCTGAGAGAAACTAGAAATACTTTTTTTTTTTCATCAATCACCTTAGCCGATCGTCTCTTCTTCTGTCCCATATTTGCCTTAATCTATGCCATTAAGACCCCTTCAGATGTCTGAAGGGGTCTTGATGGCATTGATTTGTTAACTAGTGCTGATCAGCTGGTGTCACTTTGCTCTTTCAAACAGTTTTGGTCTAGCTGAGGGTCTTCAATTCATTAAATGTCCATAATCTAACTGGAGTAAAGAGAAGCTAAAAAAATGTATAAATGCAAAAAGCCAAGCACACAGAACTGCAAACAAATTAGGACCGAACGGTCCTCCTGGAATCAGGTTCTTATTACAACCAATTTAAGTGTCAGTGATAATAGTTGTTGTTCCTTATAATTTCTACCCTGACTGTAGGGCTGGCCGAGGACGATACATATATGAACAATAGAACAGTGTCTATAGTGCTAATTCTATTGTATCCTTTCTATCGTTTCTATCACCATTTTATCTCGTACTCAAGCAAATATTTCCCAAGGTAGACTATGACAGTCATGTAGCCTACACACAACTCATAAGTGATAAACACATTTTTTTTTAAATCCACAAGCTCCATCTTGTGGTTTTGGAACATGATGCTGCTTTACAGCTTTTGACTCACACGTGGGTTTGCAATATGCTTTACGTTACATAGCTCATGAGAGCTGAGAGATGGAAATGCAGGAGTCTGAAGTATTAAACCCGTGGTCGCAGCAGATGGACAGCTATGCAGGCAACCCAAGATAAGGCACTTTTACCAAAACGAGGGTTAACGTCTGTGATTTGGTTACATTTTGGCTTTAAGAAGTCCAACACTGAGCAGACAACGCTCTTTTACAAACTATGCTACAAGACTGTTCCCTCACCCAAGGGCAACACAACAAACCTCTTTTATCACTTAAAGAAGAACCATGAAAAAGAATACATAAGCATCCAAAAAGTGCAAGGTAAAGCAAGTTGTGAAACAGCAGGAGGAAGTTGCGAAAATAAAAACCATAGCCAGCCGAAGATAACGGAGTCGTTAGCGCGATACACCTCATATGAGAAAACTTCTCTGCGCCATAAACAAATCACAGTTGTCATTGTGCATTACATATCTAAAGGCATGGTTCCTGTGTACGAAGTCGAGAAGGAGAGCTTCTGAGAGCTCAAAGTCCTTGACCCGAGGTACTTTATGCCCGGTCGCAAGCACTTCAGCCAAGTGGAGTTGCCTCGTTTATATGACTCTTGCCAGGCCAAACTAGAGAAGGTTTGCAGCGTGGTGCATTATGCCTTGACAACAGACCTGTGGACGAGCTGGGTGACGCTGCCCTATATGAGTGCAACCATCCATTTCATCAGTTAAGACTGGACCCTCTGCGCTCGCTGTTTACAGATTGCCTACTTTCAAGATGACCACACAGGAGCCATTTTAGCCCAAGGTATGTCACTTTAGCAGTAAATTTATATAACTCTGCTATTGCTGCATATTTATTCTATTGTATTCATAATATTTATATATAAATAAAAGCATATAGGTCTGAGAGATACACTGGAGTCAGTGGGACTGCAAGAATGCCACCTAGTCTGTGTCACCACAGATAATGCCACTAACAACATCGCTGCAATGGAACTGAATGAATGGGAACAGCTACAGTGCTTTGGTCACAGTTTACAGCTAGCTAGTGGTAAGTGTAATAAGTGTAATTTAGTGCGAGCATGAGTGCATCACTGAGGGAGCATGTCTGTTTTTTCTGTGTATTATGTTATCTGTTTACTTTTTGAGCTGTTGTCTTTCTCAAATAATTACACCATGTAACAAGTGGTGACAATAACGATTCTTAAACTGACAACATAGTATTAGTGAAATGGGACTTTTTTGGTTTTCCTGTTTTATGTTTGATTAGTCTAAAAACAACACATTAATATTGAACAGAGTTTCGCCCAGATAATGGTGTAATTCTGGCTCAGGGTGTCGTAATGAATGACGGGAGTTGCAAATTTAATTTGATTTTACAAAATAAATCCATAAATATCATACAATTCACATTTCTGTTATTAATTAACATACATTTTTCTTTTATCTAAACAGAAAATGCTTTGAAAGCTGTCACAACAACATCTGCAAAACAGGCTGTGGAATGTGCAGTTGGGGTCTGTAAAAAGGTTGTGAGTACATTCTCAAACTCGTGGAAGAGAAAACGTGACTTGGCCAAGGCTCAAGCAGTGCTGGGTTTGCCTACTCATCAGCTCATCACTGAAACCCCCACATGATAGGGTTCACAGTACCAGATGATCAAAAGGTCCCTAGAGCAGGAGAAAGTTCTGTCACACGTCCTTCTAGTAGACAAGAACGTGCAACAAGGAAACTGGACATTGCGCACTGATCCCTTCTGATTATGTTTGCATTCTAGATTAACTTCCTGATTAAAGTAACCTATTTCCTTTGCTATCTGACTTAGGCAAGAAATCTTGTGCTGATCTGGCAGGATATGATGGTACTAGAGTCCATGAACAAGGCACTGAGTACTCTGTTCGAGTTTATTGATGCTTTATCGGGGAGAAGTACGTCAACGTGTCTTTTCTGAAACCAGTAATGCACCTCTTCAACAATGAAATGCACAGCCAGAAAGATGGGGACACAGCGCTCTCAAAAACAATCAAAGAGGGTATCCAGAAGTACCTCAATGAAAAGTATGACTGTATCACCAACAACCTTCTAGACATGGTGACATTTGTTGACCCATGGTTTGAGACAGCCTACATGAAGGAAGAGAGGTTGGAGTTCAAAAAGATGAGAGCTGCAGCAGAGCTGGTGGACAGGGCAATGCCGGAACCCGAAAGTGCCGAAACAGCCACCTCCATTTCACCTTCAGCTGCTGCAGCTTATCCAGACCTTCCTCATTCAAAAAAGAAAGCAAAGAAGAGTTTGGAGAGCTACTTCAAAAAGGCATGAGCTGCAGGCCAAGGCACCAGCTGCTCTCAGCCATCCATTGAACTGGAGCTCTCCATGTGTCTACAGACGCCTGGGCCTAATTCAGAGGCTGATCCTCTGGGATGGTAGAAACGGCATGAGTTAAACTTCCCATTAGTGGTTAGGCTCGCTAAGAAGTACTTATGCATTCCTGCTACAAGTTCTTCCTCTGAACGGACCTTCAGTGTGAGTGGGAACATTGTCACATGTAAGAGGTTATGTCTTAAGCCAAATACAGTTGACCAACTTGTCTTCCTCATACTCAACCTATATATTTGACAGAAACGACATTTCTACGTTAACATTGTATCCTTTATGTTTGCACTTTTTGGATGGCTGATGCCTTAAACAGTTTATAGTTATATTCAATCCTGGTTTATTGAATTTTGATCATTTATATTGCTATTATGGTATGCAAACTTAGCACTACAGGGTTATAGATTTCAGAAATTTGAAAAACTGGGCGTTTCTCAATATGCGTTCTTGAGCGTTCTCGTGTGCTTGTGTATTCGTGACACGTCATCAGCCTCAGCCCGAGTACCGTTCCAATTTTCGAGAAAGCCAGATCGAGAACGCACCAAATCCCCGGATGTTGTTCTCGCCC